AGCTTGAACACTTTGTAGAGCCCAGAACAAACATCCATTCTTTAATTCTGGATTTCTCCCCAGTGAACTTTGTGGATTCAGTTGGAGCAAAAACATTAAAATCAGTAAGTTTTTGTTTATTTGTTTTTCAAAAACATAGATAATATGTAAATTAAGTTCCCACCAGGAAGCCTGTCCTGGGATGTAACTATCAGCTGGGATACAAGACAGTATCTCATATAATCACAACTTTAATTCTGTAGCTCCGTAAGTTTCAGCTGAGTACTGGGGAATGTGGAAAGTGCAGCTCTCAAGGTAACCAGCTTACATCTTCCAGAACTGCTATGTGCACAATGATATACCTGTGTTTAACTTTGGTTTAACTGTATTGCAGGTTATAAAAGAATACAAAGAAGTTGGTGTCTGTGTCTGCATTGCCAGCTGTAGTGGTGAGTTGAGCTTTTGTGTGACCTTTGTAGGAAAGGACTATATTTCATCTCTTTTCCTCTGGCCTTGAATTTATTTTCTGCTGCCAGGTGCTTCAGTAGTGTCAGTGCTAATTTTGCATTAAAATTGGATTTGGGGAAGAGCAAGCTCCTTGAGTCTTCACTTTGCTGGAAGTGAAACATTGATGTAATGAGTTCTCTGAGGACTAGATCTTGCTTCCATTTTTTCCAGCTGGCAAACTGTGAATGATAAACACACTGTAGCTTGCACTTGTTCTAATAATGTAATAAGAAAAGCTTGAAGTGTTCTCAGCTTCAATATTTGGAACTGTAACATCTTCAGCCAATAATGGACCTCTCTGTATAGCTAGAAAGGAGGATTACTTTCTTTTGGAGTGGAAGAGTAATGATTCGTCCGGATGTTTTAAATGTTTTAAATAGTGACAAGTAGGACTCAATAATTCTTGTCAGTGTCTTCCTGAGATACTGTTTTCCATCCTTGTACTTTGGTTTGTGCACTGATGCCATGTTTGTGTTTTCGGTTTTTTTTTTTTATTTTGTAGGCCCAGTTATGAATGAGCTGACCAGACTGAATTTTTTTGATAACAGTGTAACAAGAGAGTTGCTGTTTCACAGTATTCACGATGCTGTCCTTGCTTGCCAAGTGAAAGACAGGTCTGCTTCACAGACTGCCTTGGACCACTGAGGAGTGGCAACTGGCAAAATGGACATTGAACTTATGCTGATAGAGACTTTCTTTGAATATTCAATTTGCACAGGTTAAAGAGTACCTAAGGCTGTCTGTATGTACGGGTATAGAGTGGGGCTTACTTTCTGTAGGAAGAATGGACAAAGAATTGGAAGCCTTCATGCTCTTGAATTTTTTCCTTCAATCAGGGTATAGCTGTTCAGTGACATGACCTCACAATTATGCAAGATGAGAGGAGTTATTGTATTATGCTACAATCTGATAGACAAGGTGACATTCCTATTCCTATTGAGAAAATGGGCACTTTAACTCACTTGCAGAAGATAGCTGTTCTGCAGTTCCAATGTACTGTACCAATGTCTTCACAGAATTTTCTTAAACAGTTTTTAAAGCCTGATGTCAACATCTGCATACCACAGATTTATATAAACTAGTACTCTGCCAGCTGGATCAATGAATTCACACTGGTGACATTAGCTGCTGTTCTTTTTAAATCTTGATGGTACCATTTTGTTTTTTTAAATATCTAACCTGTCCCAAATGTACTGATCTCTTCATTGCCCAGTTATTTTCACTGTGAGTTTCATATTAGAAAACCTTTGTTTAATTATTATGTTATCAGTATGGTACTTACACTGCCAAAACCATGTTATACCTTCTAGAAAATAATACAACACATTTTAAGCAAAAATTATGTTGTCCTCATGTTTGAAGACAAAAGTTGTGTATGCCAGGAATGAGGTCTGATAAAATGGACTTAAGAAATGATGCCCTATATGCAGTCTCTTAAGCTGGAATAGAAGGTTAGATAGAGCCTGAAGTCTCATAGGTCCAAGAGAGAAGTACTTTTCCATTGCCTGAGATGTCTTTCTACCTACCAGCACAGCTGCTTCTGCCTCAGCTTTCAAGTGTTTGTGAAATAGATTTCAGTAGAACTCAAAAATGCATTTGGCTATTTTTCATGAAAAAGTAGGTTCTTTTTTCTTTCTTTTGTCTTTACAACCTGGCCACTATAGTACTGTTTAACTTCAAGTTAAAACATAAAATTTGGAAACACTTCAAGCAAAATAATGCCTGTTATTCCCTGAACTATCAGTATGAAACTGGTTAGAGGTAGGAATCTGGAAGTGTTCCTCTGTGAGATATTTCAGTAGCACATGGGCAGTAGAGGAGGATCAGTGCCATTTTGTCTTGCACCCTCAAAGCAAAGGTCCTGTGCATGCAGAAATTCAGATGATTTCCTCTCTTCTTAGTGCAGAACTTGCTACTTTTTATTTTGGTTCACACTGTTGCAATTATGGTTTGCTTCAGGCAAACGGAGTTTCCCAAGAACCAGGGGCAATGGGAAGATGTTTTCTTTCTCCAAATGCCCTGCCACCAGGGATAGAAAGCTTTCTGCATCAGAAGATACTGCTTAGCTGGAGTTCAAAGTGTGAATGCACGTTAACACAGTGTGCGTTTACTTAAACAACTTTGGGTACATTTTATAATGTTTACTAGTTTGACAAGCTTTTGTATCTGCATACAGTATATATTTTTCTACTTTCAGCTTGTTGCAGCTTTGGTTTTTAACTATGTAGTCTCTTCTGTTCACATCAAAATCCTGTCAAATTCGAAAATAAAGTGATTATCAGTACAAGTTGAAACTCTCCACTTTGTCTCAGCAAGACACTGCATGTGGGACAAGCCAAGGACTGCAGGACTGAAGTCTGTTGTTAAGGGGTGGGCTGGGAAGGGTTACCACTGGTATAGAGGTCCTTCCGGGCATCAAATCCAGCATGAAACATCAATGCTTCTGAAAAAGAAACCTAACAAAAATATGCATCTCTCTCTTGCTCATTTACAGTCTAAGATGGTCTTGGGAAGTAGCTGGTGCTGTTTTTCTTTCCCTTCTTCCTCCTACTTGTGCACATCTTCTGTTCTTTAACTGAGACTTTCAGAAAAGCTCTGGAAACATTATGCCTACTTATGGTTCTACTTCAGTAATCTGTAGCTTCTGGGCAACTAGTGCTTTTCCCAGGCAAGATACCTTTCCCTACAACTGGTCAGCTGTATTTTGTGACATCAAATGAGCAAACAAGTGCGCACGTGTGTGTGGGGTTAGGTTAAAGCAATACAACCGTGTGTACACCAGATTTGATACTACCCTTCTGAAGGAGGGGACAATCTTCAGGTGAACATATAGGAAATCCTCCCTGCTGGTGGGCTAACAGAAATTAAAGATGATGAGGGGGGAACCAAACGGATGTCTTCTTCACAGGTAGTTATGGACTGCATTACCCATCGTTTAGAGTTGAGGAAGCATTCCCTGTGTTGAGGTTATCATCCTTTGCATTGCATTCTTCATAGCGGCTCTGAAGCACTTCCACAAATCATGCTGATGCAGATCTGCACTGAAGTTTGCTTGCTTTCTAGTGTTCAGGTTCCTGCTCCTCACCCTTCTGGCTTTAGCACCTCCATAGAGCCCTCTCTGCACCAGGCCACACCATGATGCAATTAATGCTGCTCTGCCTGGGTAACTGCTGAAAGAATGGATCAAAAGCCTTTGTCAAGGCCATCCTACATGCGGCCTGTGCAGCACTAGCACTGTGTAACTTGCTCCTGATTATTGCCAGCACTGTTGTAATCCATCCAGCAACATAAAATCTGGAAGCTTTTGTTGAGTCTCACGGTCGGTCGGTCGTGTGCTTTGCTGCTATCAGCTGACCCAGTGCTTCCTACTCCAGCCTATTACCTACTGAAAAGCTCATCTCCCCACTGCTGTTTAGATAGGATTTAAACTCTCAGTTATCTTAAGGTTGTCAGCACATCAAACAAACTCACATCCTTTGAACTCAGAAGAGGGCTCTGCTCTCTCTCCTCTTCATTACATTTAGATGCTCGCTGCTGCAGCCTCACCGCAGCAAATAGCACTGCACAACCCGAGTCTGGGTTGATGCTGAGATGCTACTTAATTTTCAGAATATTCCCTTCCCCCATTCTCTGCAAAAGCACCAATTTATAATACCTGATCAGGATACCTGATCAGCTCCAAATTCTTTGTACATCCTTTACTCATCCTGCTCAAGTAGAAGATGCATTTAATTTCAAGCACTGTAGTGATAATCTGATATTGAATTATTGCTACTTTCTGAGCCACTTTACTTTCTGGCTCAAAAAATGGCAACATTCTCTTCCTACCACTAAACCTGCACCCCTCTCCAAAAATGTTCTTACAAAAATAACCATTGAGATCAGTTTTTTGATCAGACATGGGCAAATATACCAGAATGCCTAGATTTGTTTATTAAGGCACTGATGCTTTGGCCAGAAGTCTAACAAAATCCATTCACTGCATACACTTTTCCTTCTGCATACACTTCTTTTATAAGAAAGCCTGATATAACTTTTCTCATATTTAAGATGTAACAGTTCCCATAAAGCTTTACATTCCCATATTCCTTCAAGCTTTTTTTCTATTTTCATGCAACGCTTGAAAAAAGAGAAAATGAAAGGCTTGGTTTTCAGTGACCAAGCTGCAAGAACATGGTAGATGAATAAAGATCACCCTTTCAACGTTGTCCGCTACAAATGTTGTCTAACTGTAAGCTATGAAGGATGAGTACCCAATCGAGGTCACCCTCTGTGTAATGACATATCAAAACTTAGGAAGCACTGCAGTCACTTAGGAATGCTGTAGTGCCTCTACAGCAGAGATGATAGGTTTGGGGGTATAAACAGTGACTGGGGACCTAGCTCAACATTGCCTTGTTTCATGTATGTACACCCTTTAAAAAATATTTTGCTATATTGTTAGACTTTGAGATTTCTTTTCTATAGCAGCAAGACTCCACTAAATGCAAAACTCATTCATAAGGAAATCCCACTTGTTGTTTGGAACACTTCATTTATTTCTAGCTTCCAAGAACAAGCCAGGAGTTACCACATACATACAGATTTTGGTTTCACAGAAAATTGAACTGCAGAAACAGGAAAAGCACTCCAAGATATCAGTTGTAGGTCATGTAGCGGGGAGTGGCGCTGAATTTTGCGTAGGATTTAATGACTTTGTTCACTGCTTCTAAGAAGTCTTTCTCAGTAGCAATTTTTCTGCGTGCTCGGATTGCAAACATGCCTGCCTCTGTGCACACACTGCGAATCTCAGCTCCTTTCAAAAAAAAAGGACAAAGAAGTTCAACACTGACCACCAGTGGAGACAAAGCATACACAGAATGGCTAAATGAAAATTCACCTTACCTGTGCTATTAGGACACAGTCGAGCCAACAGCTCAAATCTTATGTCCCTTTCAACACTCATGGAGCGAGCGTGGATCTTGAATATGTGAGTCCGCCCCTGGAAAAGCACAGAAGACAGAAATGTTCACACTATGAAAGAGGTGACGACTTGACCTGCTCTCAGTGCAGCTGTCCTCTTCCCCAGCAAGGGCAAATGGAAAATAAAATTCTTACTTGGTACCTGACTGTCATTTTCTATGTCTGGACTAGAATAATTGAGCAATGGAATAATAATTGTCCATGAAACTGAATTACAAAAATATCTTAAAGAGCTCTACTGGGAGAAGCATTTCAAGAAAGCTCTCAAAAAGAACTAAATAACGCACACTCCAACTTAAGATCTAAATTATAGAACCAGTTAAAGGATTATCTATTAAGATAGAAATATACAGCAAACATAAGTACAGGTTCTTTGCCAGGGATGAAATCTGGACAGTGTGAGAAAACTTCCCTTGGCACATACTTAATCCCCCAACTTTCCGTGGAGTTTCACATAAGTTAGGAGTGCTGCTTTCAGTAACTCTTGTAAACTGCATCCAGACAGTAATGCCCCAACTGAAGAAACACTGATACCAGAAAATACTTGGCAGCAAAAAAAAGCATTCTGACCTCTAGATCAGGCAAGCTGAACTCTATCTTCCTATCCAACCTGCCAGGCCTCATTAAAGCTGGATCCAGAGTATCTGGCCTGTTTGTAGCCATCAGCACTTTGATATTGCCTCGTGGGTCAAAACCATCCAACTGGTTGATCAGCTCCAGCATCGTGCGCTGCACTTCGTTGTCACCCCCAGCACCATCATCAAAGCGAGCACCTGGACAGACAAAACACAGAACAGCAGAGACTTCAGAGCAGGCAGATATCAAAGCTGCTGTGTGTGGGAAAGCAGGAGAAGAGTATTTAAATTACACACAAATATTTGTGATGAGTTGAAAGAAGATATGAAGGAATTCATTGAAGATGACACAGTTCAAATAAAAAGTGAGTATCTGTCAGCTATAATAAGCGCCGTGTTTAGTGGGAAATATTAGTGATAGGTGGACGGTTGGACTGGATGATCTTGGAGGTCTTTTCCAACCTTGGTGATTCTATGATTCCACGATTCACCCTTAACACTAAAGGGCCCATTTCCCTGCTAATAACAGGCCAAACTGCTGAGATTGGTAAACGGGTTGGATTACTGTTTTAACATCTCCCCTCAACCAAAGTCTACTTTCTCAGGACTGAAATACTTCTTTCTTCAGGGGGGAGGGGATGAAATGTGATTTTTAGTTTTGGTAGTAGTAAAGATTTGCTAAGTAGTCTAGAATCTGAAGGGAGTTTAAGTTTACAGTACTTCTTCCAAACACAGATTTTTTTTTACTAAAGTTTAAGTTATCTGCATGTTCCAAACATGCTGAGATGACTTCTCATCTGGGCTAAATATGTCTTAAAGCTATGTAAACCACTTCTTGACACCTTCTCAGACTGGGACATGCTGGTAGTAGTTTTGCTAAATATTTAGAATATTTAGGTATTTACAAGCATAATTCTTGAAATGCAGCAACCAAGATACAGAATTCAGGCACGAAAGGAAAATCTGCAATTTCTCCCATGAAGTCAGAGCTATGCATAGTACAGACATACCTCCAATGGCATCAATTTCATCAAAGAATATAAGACAAGCTTTTTTAGTTCTGGCCATTTCAAAGAGTTCACGAACCATTCGAGCTCCCTGAAAGCAAAATGAATCAAGACTTTGTTACAGACTCAAAGCATGTTAAAAGGAAAAACTTCATGTCTCCAAACAATTCTAGCTTCCAATGATAAAACTCTTTTACTAGTATAAATAACCAAACGTTCATAAATCTGATAGCAATTTATAGATGAGAGACGGATTACTATTCTTGAACTCAGAAAAAGTACAGATGACATCAGGGCCAACTGAAAAACAAGTGGTAGAGCTGGAAACAAAATCCTCATTCCGAAGTCCTCCCATAACACAGATTACACTCCACACTGCAAAATTCATTTAATTGGTGACAACACAGTTCATGTGTTGTAACTGATTGCCCAATCTACACCCATCTGCCTGACAGTCCCTCTGCCCCCTTGTATCTCCAAGCATGCTACTATGTTCATCCACTAGACTTACTAGGGTGCCTTATCCCCAGGACTACAAGCCTGTGATTCACTCCACATTTCATTAAGAATTGGCTCTTACCTCTCCCACATACTTCTGCACCAGCTCAGATCCAATTACTCTGATGAAGCAGGCATCAGTCCTGTTAGCAACAGCACGAGCACAAAGTGTTTTGCCTGTACCAGGAGGCCCAAACAAAAGCACTCCTTTGGGAGGCTCAATTCCAAGGTTAACAAATCTTTCAGGCTGCAACGGTGAGAAACAGAAGGCATCAGAGATTACATGCAAATTCAGAAAATCATCAGTGAAGAACAAAAACCAGGCTGGCCTGGACTTCATTTGTCAGAACTAGACCTCTTTTCCCTTGACATTTTACACACAGTTTTATCTTTTCTTGCTTTTTCAAATGCTAAAAGATGATCAGCATAGCTTTAAAACAATTAAAATTCCAACCTGAAGGTTACTTACGTGAAGAAGAGGGGTTTCAACCACCTCTCTGAGCTTTTCAATCTGCTCTTTACAACCACCAACATCACTGTAAGTGACATCTGGTTTTTCTTCCACCTGCACAACAAAAAGATAAGTGAGCAGTTAACACCTTGATGCAGCCTCTATAGGCTTTCAACTGCCAAGAATAAAACTGTAAGTAATCAAAATTAGGAGAGAGAACAAAGCAAAGTAAAATAAGTAAAGGTAGTTCTTACTTGCATCATGGTGACTGTGGGATCGATCTTTGGAGGCAAGGGGATGTGGATTTGATACTTGTTTCTGTCCACTCTGGTGAGAAGGCATAAAGAACATTTATTTTAACACCAGTTAATAAAACTGTCATGAACAACTAACTGCAAATTAGAAGAAGCTGAATTCTTAAACCATTCTTTCCTCTGGCATCAAGATAACCCAGCCCTTAAAGCTAACAGAATGGCTTGAGATCAGAATTCCTTCTGCAGAGGATCTTAATATTTCAAAAAATATTAATTCCAAAATATTTTAAAAACTAAACTTCAAAATATCCCAGAGAACAAATTGGTAAAATATTGATTCTCAAGATAATTGGCTTCATCTCTTCAGCAAACATTTCCTGCAGCTGCTCTGTGTGTATCTGCCAAGACAGCCAAGGTGGAAGCTTGCTGCTCAGGTTACCGGAAAGTAGGGACTATTGAGGCCCACACTGAAAGGTTTCAGTCTGGTGCACTGAACTGACTTTCACCACAATGACATCAAACTCAAAATACCCTGAACACTGTGTGCAGATTAGCAACTGCCTTCCAACAGAAAGGCCTTATTGGTATGATTTCAATCCCTGTGAAAATACCAAATGACAGTTGCTGATCTGTCAAACTAATGGATCAGATGAGAAGCTTCAGTCTTCAGTAAAACTGTAACACAAAGGATTTTGCTTACCCAACTCTCATGCCTTCTTCTATGTCAGTAGGTGCCACCTGGTCACTGAGATCCACCACAAATTTGGCAAACTGCTTGACATTGATAATGTACTTGGGATCCTCAGAGTCTGCATTGATTATCTTTGTACATCTAATACACAACATACAATTAACATCATCAGGAAAAGAATTAACTGCTTGCCTATTTGTGTAAGCATCAGGATAGAGATGGTGGATATACGCTCCCAATACACTGAAAGAGCTACACAACCTGTGATTCCAATATTATAGTGTCATACAACAATAACAGAAGCACAAGTAGCACAGACATCTGTAAGGAGACGTCTGGTCAGGGCTTGAACTAGTAACTGAGCACCTGGTGAAGAGGTGTGGCTGGCCTAGGGAGCAAGGCAAATTGTTTGCACTTGTGCTCCCCACATGACCAGAAGGGGTGGAGCCACCCTGGGTTCAGATTTGGGCTAGTCACTGAAGACAGAGCATCTCTTAGACCTAGGCTGCTTCCTGAGAAGGAGTGCTGTACAGCCAGAGAGCCCCTTCACCAGCTGGGTGAGTTCAACTTTTCTTTCTGTATGAGACTGTTGGCCTACCTGCCGATACCTTGCCTGGTATTGCCAAGAACCTGTCAGAAGCAATTCTGCTTCTTCAAAAGCATAACATCATACATCATATTTTATAAACATTTTGTACGCTCTTTGATACAACGGTAAAAAGTACTTCCAATTTGCACAAAATGTGACTCTTCTTCAAAAAGAAAAAGAGTTTGTGAGTTATAAATTGCTTTTTTTAACACTAGGCAGCTCCACTGTAAGGACAAAAAAAGAATGCGCCCACCTGGCAACCTGTAAAGGCTGCTCACTTTGGAGAGTTTGCTTATCTGCAGCCAGATCCCAAAGAGCAGGAGGAGCCAGGCCGGTGTCGGATTCCTTAATTCCTGTGTACAGCACAGACAAGGTGAGGAGAAAGAAGCAGCTGGTATGTCTTCAAACGTCAATAACCTTACACACAGGCCACCAGGAAACTTCCTGAGATCTCTAATTAAATGCAAAAGCACAGCTTTAGTGAACTTCAAGTTTCCTAAAGATACAAGACTGTGCCAGCTGAATATGCAAATGCCAGGCTACCAACACCACTAAGCTAACTGTTCTGCTGTGCTTCTCTTCATTGGGCAAGGAGTGGCACCACTACTTACTGGTAATTTGTTGACTTTCTGCAGTACACAGAAGTTCACTCATGATTCAAATGTAGTTTGACACCCATAAGTTAACTAGTGACAGAGGATTTGTTTCACACTACTGTAACAAACAGGCTTACAATTTTAAATACAAATCTGTTAAACTACAAAACTACAAATGTATATGTGCAGCTTAGCCCTGCCCAACCAAAAGCAAGACCATCACCTACAAAATAAAAATTGCATGTTACAAAAATAAAGAAATGCAGCCTTTGGCAAAAAATAAAAATCATCAAAGAAGTAGTTTGAAATCAGCTTCTTCAAATACTCATTTTCGTAGCTCTTCTACTGAACACCATGTTAAGAAAGAAAGATACCAGTGAGCTCATTGATTTTCTTAAGTAGTTGTTGAATATCATCTTCTACTTGCTTGATCTGCCTGGAGTATGTGCTCTGGCCCTGGAAAAGAAACATCACATTGATTTTTGCAAATCAATAATTTCATGTTTAGGAAAAAGTGACAATAACTGCTGAGCATCAGGATATTCAGTAGATGGGTTTGGTATAACAAAAACTACTGATCACAACCAAAGACAACATTGTTAAGCTCATATAATAACATTTCTGTTAATTCCGAGCAGGGTGCAGCTTCACAGTTCTGAGCACTGTGCAAGCGGAAGTTTTTTCACATCTTTACTCACAGATTTGTTTTTGCTTTTGAATGTGTTTGGTCTTATGTTTTTTTAACCATTCTTAAGTTTCAAAACAAGTCTTAGTAAAGATTACATACAGGAGTTCTGCAAACAGCACAGAAGTGAAAAAATTCCTATTTGTATGAGTGCTTTTATTTCCTCCCCAAACTCTCTACCAGCCCCAAATATAGCAGAATCTTCATGGTGCACATCAGAAGCCATATTCTCATCTGTGATAAAATATTTTACTGCATCGCCCTGCCAAACGCAGGCAGACCTGGATTTGCTTTACAAGGTCCCCCTTGTATCAATTTGCTTAAAAAAAAAAAAAAAAAAAAAAAAAAAAAAAAAAAAAAAAGCCACAGTGGTCTCAATCTGTACTTCAACGCCCTTACGCAGTTGCAGGGTTGTACTGTCAATATAATTCAGACTTCTGACAAACATGTCCACATCCCAACATACACTTAGCAGCAAGTTTCTTTATCCTGAAGAGTTCTTTCATAGACCCACTGTAGAATCATTTAAGGTTGGAAAAGATCTCTAAGGTCATCAGTCCAACTTATGCCCACTAAACCACATCTACACATTTTTTGAACACCTCCAGGGATGGTGACTCCACCACCTCCCTGGGCAGCCTGTGCCAGTGCCTCACCACCCTTTCAGAGAAGAAACTGTTCCTAATACAACTGAACCTCCCCTGGAACAACTCAAGGCAGTCCCATCTCATCCTATCACTGTTACCTGGAAGCAGAGACCAACTTCACACCCCCCCACACAGCCTCCTTTCAGGCAGCTGAAAGCAGTAGTAAGGTCTGCCCTGAGCCTCCTCTTCTTCAGACCGACCCATCCCAGCTCCCTCAGCCGGCCCCCACCACAGCTGTGCTCCAGACCCCTCACAGCTCCGTTGCCCTTCCCAGGACACCAGCAGGGCCTCCACGTCCTTTAGCAGCGCTGTCCCACAGCCGCACGCAGCACTCGAGGTGCGGCCTCAGCAGCGCCGAGCGCGGTCAGCAGCGGACCCGCGTTACTCACGTAGGTTTTCAGCAGGGCGATATCTCCTTCATCCAACGCTGAAACAAGACAAGAAAGGCTTAAGTCGCCAACCATAAAGACAAGACAGAAGCTCGTTCGGAGGCCGCATCTGCGTTTGTGCCTTTGCTGGCCAGGATCCCCGCGGCCGACGGCCGCCCTGCCCCGCTCCGCTCCGCGCCCGCCGCTTACCGCGGATGGGTTTGTCCTCCTTCTCCTCCTCCTTGGTCTTGCGCTGGTCCGCTCCCAGGTAGTCCGGCATGGCGAAACCTCCCAGCTCCGGAAGGCCGAGCGCTGCTGCGTAACGCTTCCGGGCCGCGCCGCCGCCTTGCCGCGGGCCGGCCGTTCCCTCCTGGCCTCACGGCGCGGCGGCGAATCGCGGGCCGCTCCCGGCCGCGTGTCGCACGGAGCCGCGTTCCCTCCCCCTGGCGGCAGCCGCTCCCCTCGGCGCCGAGCCCCGCTTCCCCCCTCGCGGCCCCGAGGATCCCTCGCGCCGCCGCTGACCCGGAAGCGCTCCCCGGGCTCCTCCACGCGCCGGCTCCCGGCAACCGGCGAGGCCAGGCCGGCGGCTTCCGCGGTCGAGGCTCGGCGCGCGCTCCCGCCGAGCCGCCATGCTGCGCGGGGCTCACGAGGGGCAGCTGACGGCAGTAACCGGGGCGCTGACGGCCGGTAGGTGCGGGAAGGGCGGCCGTCCCGCGCGGCGCTGGGCTCCTGGGCGAAGCGGGGACCGAGAGGGGCGGTCTCGAAGCGGCCGCCCGCGGAAGCGCAGAAGTTGGGCTTTAGAACCGAGCGGGGGGGGATTCGCCTGCCGAGCGCTCGGGGCTTTCCTCGGGGTTTGCGCGTGAGGCGGCTGCAACAGGTGCGGCCGCTGGGGAGGGAGCGGCAGCGGTGCCTGGGAGAGCCGAGCTGCGTAACGGCTGTTAGCTGGGAGCGGCGGCGCTGCTCGGGGTTCGGGAACGCCGCCGGGTCTGTGGGGCGGAGCGCCCGCCGTCCTTACAGCTTGGCGCGGCTGACCGGGCGCTCTGCGGCCGAGCCTGGGGCTCCCGGCATCCCAGCACGGGGAGATGTGGGGCTGCGTGCAGAGGAGGGCCGCGGGATGCTCAGAGGGCTGCGGCACGTCTCCTGAAGACAGCCTGCGGGAGTTGGTGTGGAGGAGAGAAGGCTCCGAAGAGCTCCTCCAGCCTTCCCTTGTGTGACCTTAGAAGCAGGCTGGGGCAAAAACTTTTTATGTGGACAGATAGTGTTAGGACGAGGGGGAACTGTGTGAAACGATCAGACGGGAGATTGGGCATAGAGGTTAAGGGAAAATTTTTCACGGATTGGGTGGTGAGGCACTGGCACCGTCTGACAGCAGAGCCTGAGCTGGTACCTGGTGTGGTGCCTGATTCGGTGGGTACCAGCCCTACCTGCAGCAGGGGGGTTGGAACTCGATGGTCTTTGAGTTCCCTTCCAACCCAGCCCTCTTTGTGATTCTGTAACTTGGCAATCTGCAGCTTTGTGTCATGTAGTACTTTGATGGTACTTTATCATCAACAACAAAAAAGTAAGCCACAGAAGGTGAAGTTGCTTTTGTGTTTTTGCTTATAGCATCAGTGCTCTGTCAAGTGGAACCTGTGGGAAGATGGTTTGAAGCATTTATTAAGAGGAGAAACATAAATGTTTCTGCCTCTTTCCAGGAGCTAGAAGATGAAAAGGAACTTTCTGAAGAATCGGGGGATGAGGAATTGCAACTTGAAGAATTTCCTATGCTCAAAACACTTGATCCCAAGGACTGGAAGGTATTCTGTTGGCAGTGACACTGCTGTTTTGGTTTGTGGTTTGTTTGTGTGTGTTGGGTTTTTTTGCTGGAAATCTCTTGACAAATTTACCTGCCACTCCCAGCCGCCCCTCCTTACCCCAGTCTGAATCTTTCTGTGTCTGTCAGCATTTGACTTGACTGGTTTTGTGTTTTCCATGCGTAATCTGTTGAGGACAAACTCAAAACTGCGTGGGGTGAGGGCTTAGTCTTCTGTATTCTGGAGTTTTGCTAGTGGCCTTAGTATTGACACAGCAATTCAATCAAACTTACTAGGATCCAATCCAATACTTAAATACTATTTGGGTTGAGGTACTGGAGTTTCTTTAGCAACCTCTAAAAAATTGTTCCTATGGGCTTTTTCGAATGTTTATTGTGAGAGAGAAGAATCCTGCCTTTTGCTTTAAAGATGTGCTTTATTAAAGATGTTGCTTTACATGTGTTGTGGCTTCTTAGATCACATATGTCAGTGTTTACTAGAGCTCTTTGTTCTTTGTTCCTCAGAATCAAGACCATTATGCAGTTCTTGGGCTAGGAAATATACGATATAGGGCTACTCAGAAACAAATCAAAGCAGCTCGTAAGTATCTTTCCCTCATAAGCATACTCTTCTTTCAGAAGTACAACTCTGTTTTCTACATACAAGTTCAAACATGTCACAAAGAAGTTTTTTTCCTATTTTTACAGACCTGCTCTTTGATTCCAATTGCTTACCAGCCTGTAGTTTCACTTCACAGTTCTGAAATCCACAGGCCCAAAGCGAGTGAAATGGAAGATTCCACTGAGTTCACATCTTGTTTTCTTATCTCAAGATTTTTGGTTAAGAACAAACAACAAAAAACAAGCAGGCAAACAAATCCCAACACAGGCTGTAAATTTATATTTTTGCATTTTGGAGTCTGCAGTCAAGCTCAGTGAAAGGTTGAGAAATATGTCTGGCCCTGCCTGTTTCAACAAATTGTTACCTTCAAGCCCCCTTACAATTGTAAACTGCCACGTTAATGCTACTGAATGTTTAAGAAGCATAGATACTGCTGTTATCTTCCCAAGTGGTAGGCTCAGGCTTTCATGGGAACAGAGTGATAACTGTTAAATTTTCATGCATTTAAATATTGTACTAAAAGTAATTCGGACCTCTGAAAAGTTCACTTGTGCTCTTCCTTGGTCATTTTGCTGTGTGGTAAGCGTAGAGTTCCTGTTGCTGAGTGCTGGGGATATTATCAAGCAGTTAAGGATGTGTTCTGTAAGGTTGCATTCCCTTGGTGTTTCAGATAAGCAAACAATAGCACTCGGAAGTGCAGTGTGCTGCTTAATGGTAGCATGGGCCTGTGTCTGAAATCATGAAATGTGAAGGTTCACAAGTGCACAAGGGTTATCAAGGGTATTTTATGGTATTTACACACCAAGAAACATCATGTCAGGCTTCAGAACTTTTATTTCTAGAAAGCAATGTGACCAAGAGCTGACTGTAAATATTTGTTTGAAGATTGAAATTGACTGTTAAATTCTCTATGAAATAAGCCAACAGCTTTGTGAATTTATCTTGCAAACTGTTACATAAAAAAGCTGTCCCTGTATGAGTGGAAACACTGTCCTCAGTTAAACCACAGGTGAAGATTAAGTTACTCACAAGTGGGTAGAAGGTTTCCTTTGGGCTCACTTGACTGAGCTAAGGCAATGTGCCAGCCTGTCGCCTACCAGCAAAGCCATGGCGAGCAACTGTGTGGTCACAGAGCACAAAAATAGAAATCATTCTTCACTTACAGCTTGGTCACATTACCTTATGTTTGGAACTGGCTTGGGCAGCACATGTAGCAAGTTATTGACTTGTATAGAAAATTATGTTGCAATTGGTACATGGCCATATGTTGGACTTCTTAGCAGTGCCACTGTGGGTCCTGTGTTAGTACTGCATAGAGCAACACCTGGCCTCACTAATGTTCTTGAGCAAAACTGGGGCATCTCTCTCCTGATGATTGTAGAGCTCTAAGACAGTCTTGATAACAGCTTCAGATGACATTCTAAAGATAACCATAAGTTATCTCTCAGGATTTAAGGCCTGAGTAGAGAACTTGACCAGAAAGACGTGTGTGTGTATGTGTGCATGTGTGTTTGTGCTGAAACATTTCTGAATGTTATGCATCTACTTGCCAGATAAATCCATGGTTTTGAAACATCATCCAGACAAGCGAAAAGCTGCAGGAGAGCAAATAGGAGAAGGTGATAATGATTATTTTACGTGCATAACTAAAGGTAAGTCATTGACCTCTTTTATGAGATTTGTCTCTGTTGCTACTTTTAAAGAACTGTACAAAGCCAAAGACGTTCTCTTCTGTTTTGGCAAACTTCTTTATCAGCAGCCATCACTGAAGTGTAACTTCTCTTTGGGTGGAGGCAGTATGGAAATACAGCTGACCGACCTTTGCCACTTGGTGACAATGCAAAACTTATTGTGAACTCTTACAACAGTGTATGCAAGGGTGAACCACTAGAGGTTGCCACACGCCTAGAATCAATGAAACACTGTAAAAGAATTCCTGCAGGACACCAACTGCAGTAGAAAAAGTCAGAATTCTAATGCTCTTAGTGTGCCAACAGAGTGTCTGTTGATTTCAGCTGGGATATCGGTTTTCTCAGACGCTCGCTTTTGCCCACAGATGACCAAGTGCACTCAATGACATTTCATTCCTGCCTGCAGTGACCTAGAATGCTCTTGCTGGCTAATGGCAGAAACTTAGAGATTAGTTTAGGTATAGCCAGACTTATGCTTCTGGTAGTGCTTTTATTTTTAAACAAATGTTTTCAATCAATAAGGGTAGGGGAGAGCATCTTCTAATCATTCTTCCAAGCGACTTGTTCTTGTTTGTTAAAATGTTAGGAGATGTTGTGTTAGACGAGCTAATGATGTTTACAGTCTTCTATAGAGCTAAGCTACATCTTTTCAAAAATGAACAATGATTGTGTGGTTGGGGCTATAACAAAGAAGGAGACAGGCTCTTTAACAGGGTCTGTTGTGATAGGACAGGGGGAAATTGATTCAAACTAAAAGAGAGGAGATTTAGACTGGATACTGGGTGAAAATCTTTTTTACAATAAGGGTAATGAAGCACCAGAACAGATTGCCCAGAGAAGTGGTGGGTGGCCTACCCTAGAGGCATTTGAGATCAGACTGGGTGGAGCTGTGAGCAACCTGATCTAGCAGTAGGTGTCCCTGTTCACTGCAGGGGGTTGGGCTAGATGACTTTTAAAGGTCCCTTCCAACTCAGACAATTCTATGAATTGACTGAAACCAGACTTTTTTGAGATTATGTTAACAAATACCAGAATAGTTGTGACTTTGTTTCAATTTGAAACAGGAAAAAAAACATCCTAATATCTGAAAATTAATAGGGAAACCTATTTCCCACCTGTTCTAATTATTTACTTGCCTGTATTCAGCTGTTGGGAAAACCAGCTTCAAATGGAAAGTAAGATCTTCAGGCAATATAGAATTGAATACGAAGTTCTGCTGCTGCCTGATTAGC